CAAACGGCATCGAATTAGCACGAAACTTGGCATACATGACCGCCTAGGCACGATAGACTTGTGAGAGAAGACAGGACTCGAATCGGGTTCCTAGTTTGGGAGTTAGAGCTGGATTTCACTTTGGGCAAACTGGTTCCTTAAATAACTTAGAATTCGAGGTGTTGACACCCCAAAATCATCAAACGGTGTCAGATTAGCACGAAACTTGGCATACACAACCGCCTATCCACGAGAGACTTGTGGGAGAAGACGAAATTCGAATCGGATTCTGATTTTGGAGTTAGAGCAGGATTTTACTCTAGGCAAACTAGCTCCTTAAGAAACTTAGAATTCGATGTGTTGACGTGCCAAAATCACCAAACGGCATCGGATTAGCAAGAAGCTTGGCACGCATGACCGCCTAGGCACGAGAGACTTGTGGGAGAAGACAAGACTCGAATCGGGTTCTTGGTTTGGGAGTTAGAGCCAGATTTCACTCTAGGCAAACTAGTTCCATAAAAACTTAGAATTCGAGGTATTGACGCCCCAACATCACCAAACGGTGTCGGGTTAACCTGAAACTTAACACACATGACCGCCTAGGCACGAGAGACTTGTGGGAGAAGACGGGACTCGAATCGGGTTCCCGGTTTGGGAGTTAGAGCCGGATTTCACTTTAGGTAAACTAGTTCCTTAAGAAACTTAGAATTCGAGGTGTTGACACCCCAAAATCATCAAACGGCGTCGGATTAGCATGAAACTTGGCACACATGGCCGTCTATGCATGAGAGACTTGTGGGAGGAGACGGGACTCGAATCAGGTTCCCGATTTGGGAGTTAGAGCCAGATTTCACTCTAGGCAAACTATTTTCTTAAGAAACTTAGAATTTGAGGTGTTAACACCCTAATATCACCAAACGGTGTCGGATTAGCACAAAACTTGGCACACATGACCACTTAGGCATGAGAGACTTGTGGGAGAAGACGGACTCGAATTGGGTTCCCAATTTGGGAGTTACAGCCGGATTTCACTCTAGGCAAACTAATTCCTTAAAAAACTTGGAATTCGACGTGTTGACGCCCTAAAATCACCAAACAACGTCGAATTAGCACGAAACTTGGGGCACACGACCGCCTAGGCATGAGAGACTTGTGGGAGAAGATGGGACTCGAATTGGGTTCTCGGTTTGGGAGTTAGAGCCGAATTTCAGTCTAGGAAAAATTATTTACCTAATTATCTTTGTAATTGTATAATAGTTAAATTTTATGTTTTTTTGTAATTAACATATTAACACATAATTATATTATCATTAATTATTTTTATTTTTTATTTTCAGATATTTCCCATGTAGGGGTTTGCTTTTTTGTGGAATGCATGCCTGTGAAGAATGCAACTAACTTTTGTTTTTGTTACCCATGAAGAATGATGAGGAAAACTTTTGTTTTTGGTTTATGTTATTTTGAATTGTGAACAACATTATGTATTTAAACATTATATATGTATTATGCAACATTATGCTGTGAGGTAATTTTGTTGATGTGTAATTATGAATGCAAGAATATTTTTCTTATGGAAAAATTGTTATTTCTATACAGGAATTTTTATATTATTATGCAATTATTGGTTTCTTTTTCAATTATTTTTCATTTAATATAGGTAATTTTAATATTTTTAATAATTTTCTTGTCGTTTTTTTTTTCTTGGCGACAACACCACACCGTCACAAAAAACATTAGTACCAAATTGTATTTTTTTTTGCGACATAGGGAATGCCGTCGCAAAAAGAAATTGGCGACAGTACATATCCTGTCATAATAAAAAAACATTTTGTGATGGCATTTTTTGCCGTCTCGAATAACACTTAATATTTTTAATAATTTTCTTGTCGTTTTTTTTTTTTGGCGACAACACCACACCGTCACAAAAAACATTAGTACCAAATTGTATTTTTTTTTGCGACATAGGGAATGCCGTCGCAAAAAGAAATTGGCGACAGTACATATCCTGTCATAATAAAAAAACATTTTGTGATGGCATTTTTTGCCGTCTCGAATAACACTTTTTGTGACGGTACAACAATGCCGTCACAAAAAGTCTCAATTTTTTATGTATTATAGGCGATAGTAAAATGCCGTCGCAAAAGGCAACATTTGTCGTCACCAAAAAAATGTCGTCGCTAAAACGTTTTTGCAACGCCCTTTGTTGTGACCCCTATTTTGTTATCACTAAAAGTCATTTGCTATCGCTAAAAGTTTTTTGAGACGGCATTAGGAGTATTAGCAACGGCATTTTATCGTCGCAAAAAACTAAAATTTTTGTAGTGCATTGATCATTGCTCTGGGCTCTGTCTAGTCTTTCCATGATGTTAGTGATACCTTGTCTATTGTTGGTCCAAGTAAATCGAGGGCCTACACTTCCTAGGGTTTGTTCATATGGATAACTGTGTCTTCAAGGTCTTCCCAAAGTGTCCCTCTGGATATTGGGTTAGGGCTGGCATATACAACATTTAGAACCCATTCCTCATAATCCTCTCTGTGAATTGTGGCTTGAATGTATTGGTTTGAGACTGCGGAAGCATGAACATTGACCTGATCGGTATCCCAAATTAGCCAAATGCCTCCAGCACGTCTAGTTGGGTCAACAATAGTGGATGCTGAGAAACCCATGTTATTGAAGAAATTCCCTATTGAGCTGTACGCAACTTTGGTTTCCATGAGAATGAGGATCCCAGGTTTGTGAGTACGGAGTAGTTCTCGCATGTTTCTTCTAAAGGTATTATTACCTACCCCACGGCAGTTCTAAATCAATATTTTGAGAGAATCCATAGACGACGGTATGGATAAAGGGTCAGTGGCAAGTCGGGACAATATACTATGTATCCTCCGATGATCCAATTGTCCAAATTGCAAAATTATTTTTGCACATTACATTAAGGTTTTATTTATTTATTTATTTTTGTTTAGAAACAAAGAATTATCAAATTATTCTCTATAATAGTTGAACAAGCAATTTTAGACCACAAAGTGGTGTTACAAAATCACTGAGTCAAAAATCCTAGTTATTACATTAAGTTTTCACCGTTACTAATTTGGATAAACTATCTCCAATTAGACAATATGAACTTAAATCTTAAAATCCAATAATTAAATAGATGAAATTGATAGTTTATAAATAAAATAAAATAAAAATAACAATAATTCAAGATATGAAAAGTAAAATAATTGATTTATGTGAACTGAAATCACAAGTGATCTGCATTCTTCAGAGTAACCAACTGTTATTTGTTGTGCAGGCACCATAATCTAGTACTTACAGTTACTTGGAGAGCAATTTTATATACTTCAAAAAGAAAAAATATTCAAAATTTTTAATGTGTGAATAAGATTTATTATAGGTGGCACATTAAGTTTCAATATGTACCATATATTCAAATTGTGAATAATTTTATAAATAAATAACTTATCTGTTCTTTGTATTATTGTTGGAGCATACAGATCAGAACACATGTGGGTAAGCCCCATCATCCGACTGCTTCCATGAATATTTATTTATTTAAAAACCAGTAATCAATTATCAACTATATAATATGTGTATGCTATTCATGAGGTGGTTCGAATGGTAATCGTCCATGTCCTATTTAGGAGGGTTTTAAACTTACATTATTTGATCCGATATATGAGTGGTCACTTGTCTCCCGAATTTGTGCTTACAAAATAAAATCCTGCCTAAGATCAGTTCTTCGCTTGTCAAATAAATAAAAAAAAAGCTTGAAAAGTCTTTGACCCGAAAGGCTCGACTATCTAAAATGACGGCGTTTTGAACATTTTTTTTTTCTCTTTCCCCCTCTGTTTTCTCTCTGAAACACACAGAAGAAGAAAAAGAAAAGGAGAAAAGAAGGAAAGGAGAGAAGGAGAAGAAAGAGAAAAGAATGAGGGAGGGGGAACGGATTTATGACAGATCTGTGTATACCCGTAGATCTAGACTTCAATGGGTCTCTTCGGATATGAACTTCAATGGCTTGTTATTCTCTTACTCTGTGTGTGTGTGTGTGTGTGTTTGCTGATTTTGTGCAATGATAAGATTTCTGGAATGAAATGGGAAATGGGAAATGGGATTTGTGGGTAGGGTTTGGTTTGGGATTTTTGATGCTTAATTTTGGAGAATTTTCAACTTATTTTACATATATTTGATTTTATTTGAGTCTGTATATATATATATATGTATGTATGTATATATGTATGTGTGTTTATATATTGCGTGGGTTGGTCGGTTTTGAAAATTGCAGACTTCTCACATTCCAGATCAATCTTCTTTATTAATTAGGTAGATGTTTGACTTTATGGTCAATTTCTCTCTCTATGCTTTTTATCAATCTTCACACTAGACTTTGGATAATCCACATATATATACCCATTAATTGTATGTATATGTATATGTATGCATTGCAGGTTTAGTTTTGTCTGAGAATCGCTTGATTTTCGTAGCGAAGAAGGCATGGCATCTCATGTTCTGACTCGAGTTCACAGCCTTCGTGATTGTCTTGATGGAACACTCGCTACTCATTGCAATGAAGATGAAAATTGAAGACAGTGATGAGAGAGAGAGAACAGAAGAAGAAAATGAAGAAAATGAAGGAAAAAGACAGTGATATGAGAGAGAGAAAAATGAAATGTGTGGGAGTATTGAGCACAGCAGTAGAAAATTGAGTGAGAAAATAAATTCGGGTCTCTCGAGCCAATGACGATTTGAGCTACGTAGCGGAGTTGGGAGTTGTTATGTATATGTAAATCAACTGTGTATGAACCAGCTCTGCCATCCAGAACCCAAATGGAGTTACTTGAAAAAAAATCACAAAACATGCTATCTCTATTTTCCTATTCTCTTTTTTTTACATTCATTCCCTAGCTGCATTTCAAAAATTGCAAATTTGCCTCTCAATCACTATACAATCTTTAGCACCAAATAGATCTGAAATCTATCAAACTGCATTGAAAAGCACATCCATCAACCACCAATAGCATTTGTGACAAATCTTTAAGCTATATCATCTTCCATTGAAAACTAATAATAATAATAGTACAATAACAATTTTACAAATGAGGAATACAAAAAAGAGCAAGTTCATTTGATAAGCTTTATTTTTAGAAACAGCACATTCAAGAAGAAACCACCATCTTGCCCTTTTCATGCACTAAATTGCCCCCTCGAGAAACACATTCAAGAAGACTTAAAACTTCAGAGAGAGGACTTGACTCACTGACCAATCCTCTGAACAGAGTACCTAGAAGTAGAAGACAACCCATGAAGATCATGATGATGATGATGATGGTGAGCCTTCAAAGATCTGTCAACACATTTCAATGGGGTAGGGGTGACCTGCAAGAACAAATAGTTCCCAGCAAAGAGATCTCCAAAATGGGATTGGCTTTCCTTCAATCTCTTCAAAACCTTAGTCCATGAGACCATGACTTGCCTGGCTTTTCTCTTCAAGAACCTCTTCAGGATAGGAATTCTGATTCTCAGTCTCTTCCTGGTGTGCACTTTTCTGAATCTGGACCAGCTCTTTGCCCTCCCAATCACTCTCTCTCTGATTCGATCTTCGTCGTCCTCGTCGTCGAACCCACCCTCATGCCTTAGTCTATGGTAAGAGAACTTGGCAATTGAGGCCATCTCAGTGTGTGTGTGCGCGCGTGTGTGGTTGATGAGATTATCAAGTAATGTGTTTGATGAAATGGGTGAGAGAGAAATGGTGGTGGTGGTGAAGGAGGAGGAGGAGATCGGTTTGGAGAAGTAGTTGAGTGCATTAAATGCACAGAAGAAGCTGGTGGCTGCTAGCATGGCATGTCATTGCATGGCAGCAAGTTGTTTGTTTTGTTATGGATTATGTCAGGAGCAATGATAGTGACTCCAAACAAAACAAAAAAAAAATTTTTTTGTATGATTATTATTATTATTATTATTATTATTAATTATTATTTTTTGAATATCTAACATTTTTGTTATTGCGAAATTTATTAGATGAGAATTGCTACAAATCATTTGTTCCTTTCATTTTTTTTATACCACCCAATTATATATATATCCAGATATTATACATTTTTATTAATTACTTAATAATTATGTTTAAGAAACCTACAACATTTCTCTTATTAGATATGCCAGACTATTATGTGGTATTAACGATATAATATTTTAAATTAATAAAAAATTATGAACCTTGGACAATTAAATGATCATGGAGAGGTTAGGTTCCAATGTATATGAGGTTTAAGTTCATCGATAAAGAACCATTGACTTGTGTTGTCTTGTGGAAAAAAAAAAAACTAATAATAATAATAATAATGTGCAACATACCAAGTGGATTATCCTCCATCTCCTAACTAAATTTTCCGCACTTGATTGCCATTAATTGCATTTACATTTTTGTTATTTCTTCCCACCCTAAAAACATGTAAATTATGATATTTGTAGTGTTAATTACACAAATATAATAATTTAATCATTTTCAGTCATAACTATAAATAATATAATGAGTCATAATTAAACATCATAAGTTATAATCAAATATTTTTTTAATCATAATCAAAATAATAATCATAATAAATTATAAACAACATCGTAATGAGTTATATTAACACAACAATGAGTCATAATCAAATCATAACACTATAATAAATCATAATCAAATATCACAAATAATATAACTAAAAATATAGTGCACACTCTACTTCAAGCTTATATCGTAGAATATGCCACGTAACATTATTGTACAGGAAAAGAAATGCCTCGATTTTGACACTCACCCTCAACCTTCTACTATCCTTTTTTTTTGAAAAACAACAACATTACCTCCCAAGATTAAGGAATTTGTTTGATAAATAAGATTAAGGAATTTTTTCTCTCCATCCATCGAAAAAAAAAAAAAAAAAATAAATTAAAAAATCAAAGTTTAAAACACACTTTCCTCAATTTCTAAATAATTAATCTTTTCAAATAGTTATAAATAAAAAATTCACAAAATAATATTAATAAAAATTAATTTTTTTTTATAAATAACTTATATAAACTGCAACAACAACATATAAACGGCACTATCAAAACAAAAGGGAGATACGTATTGACAAGGAGAACTATAATTGCCTAGCTAAGTAGTGGATTTAAGTCCCTGTCAACATTGTCAACATTCAACAGTAGACATTAAAATAAGAGGAGGGGAGGGGAGGGGAGGGGCCTCGGTCTATAAAAGCTAGTAGAAAATTAAGGACCACTAGTCAATTAAATTGGCAGTGTACGAAGACTTCATCTCCAATCAAAGACCCACCAAGGCATCTCCAACGATTTATTAGAATTTTCATTATATTTGAATAAATAAAAAAAAGATAAATTTCTCAATCTTTATAATTTGCATCAAAACACACTGGATGTCTGGGAAAACGACTGGCCGGTCGACAGAAAAAAGAAAATTGATTTTTTTTCCCCTCCATTTCTGTTTCCTCACAGTGCACTGCTTGTATGATTGTATGATTTCCCCATTTTTTTTCAGTTTCTGCCATTATTTCTCCTCTTTTTCTTCTCTGTTTATTCCATGAAAGAAAAGTAGTAGTTTTCAAACATTATTCACAAATAGGAGAACATGAAAAAAAAGCAAGCAACTCACCATCCAGATCAGATTTAAGGTATGGAACGATGAAGATGAAGGGTTCACTTGATCAAGACAATTGTGTCCACGCATTCAAATGCTGCTTTCCTCAACTCAAGCCCATCATCCACTATGTGCTTGAAAGGATCAAGATCAACTGTTCTTATCAATTCTTTCTGTAACAGAAATACATATCAGAATATGTGAGGGTCAAAACTAAATAATGATCAAAGAATAATTAAAGAAAAAAATTAAAATGGTAATGGAGATAGAAATTGAATAACACACTTAGAAGCTTTTTATGTGAACTAAACATATTTAAGCATCAAGTTTTTACCATAAAACAAAAGGAGAACTCTGGCACATTTTAGCCGAATTGTATTGAAAGCTTTGGCTATTTGTGAACTATTTAGTTATATTGATATGTTGGTTGCTTGTATCTGAGTCTTGTCAACTGATTTTAGGTTTAATTCGGTTTTTCATAGCAAATTTAATTATAACAGTCTCCTTAGCAGGAGCAGAGAGAGTCGCTCTCAAAATTACGTTTCAGTGGCAATGTATATCTATACTGCGTTCAGATAATTTGATAGTAATTGTCAAAAAAATATGTGCCAACTCCAAAACTGGATTGTATGGTTATATCTTCCTCCATATTTCTGGAACATTTGATGATCTTGAAGAACAGGGGTCATTAGGAGCAAAAATGGTCATGAGGAGTTGACCGGTCGATCGACCCGTCAATGTAAATTTTTTACAAATTTTGCCTTGAGGTGGTCATTCGAAGATATCCGGCTGATCGTTCGATAGATCAACACTCAACAGTTATGCACAGTAAATTGCTAAAAAGTGCACGACATTCTTAATTTGATGAAACATTTGTTATATTCTCAATTTGATACATGTTTGATGAAACCATTGGAACATAAAAAGAGAAACTTTTTCACCAAAATTGAATTTCGTGATAGGTTTGATATAGCGTTGGAGATGGCCAGGGTCAGACATTAATCACGAGTCTTCTTTTTATCCTACTATATAAACAGACTTTTAAATTCACCAATATGAAATCATATCCGTCAATATATCAATACATAATAATATCATATGATCAAAATCTTATTATATAAAGACCGTTGCAAATACATTTTGTGACAACATTAACAGTGACAAAACGGGGTATAAAAACTAATGTTGCAAAAAAGTAATTGTAACGCAACATACTATTGCGAATGCGATATAAGCTCCATTGCTCTGGGTCATATTTCAATCAACATTTATTAAACTAAGATTGAATGTACATTCAAGAAAACACAATCAAATGAGCTCAAAAAAAAAAAAAAAATAAATAAATAAACAACTTAACCACCATATCAAACTCATCAACAAACCCCCCAGCTTTGTTTGGTTTTAGTCCCTACAAACCTATTAAAGAACTTCTTCGCTAATAGGTTGTATTATCTTTGAACAAGTAGACAACCAAACCAATCAAACTTCCACTTGACATATTCACAAGCAGCCCCAAAGACGACAATAGAAAATGAACAAACCAAGCACAGAAATGTACAGAACCTTAGGACTTGAATCCTCCTTTCTCCAATACAGGTCAGAGACATCAAAAACTGAATTCAACCACGCTTCTTGATTTTTCATCAAGAAACAGATTATGGAGAATTCAGACAGTAGCTAACAGAAATCCCAAGGGCAACGAGCTGCTTAGTAGAGCTTTATTTTGGTTTGGATTGGATTCCGACAAATTGGGCATAGTTGAAGGTCTTGTCCACAATCCCAACATGTCTGTCCAAGAGAAAAGAGAAATTTTTGCATGTTAATATTTCACCTGCCATTTTTTCGGTCCAAATAGTTGAAGAGATTGATTAATGTTGTATTTGGTTGAGGAATTTGAGAAGAGATTTGAAAAGGGAAAGGAAAAGAGAAAAAGATATGTAAAATTAGGTGAAATGTAGGTATATTTTATTCACATTTCACTTATCTTTTCCCTTTCTCTTACCAAATTCCTTTCCCAATCTCCCAATCAAACACAATGTAACAGATTTACCTGATGCCCACAACCAAAGGCCATGTCCTTCGCATTACTGAGGCAAATGGGACAAAGCTGTAAATGAAAAATATTAGCACCAGCTATTGAAACCACATGAAGACCCTGTTAGGTGTAGCTTCTGGAGCTGCTTATAGCTTATTTTTTCTAATTGTCTCTTAGAGTCTGTTGCAGAGTCGTTGGGTTAACTTCTGCTTATAACTTATGAGGCATAAATAACTTGAATAAGTTGAATATTGGGAAGCATGGAAAGGGACATTATCAACTTTCAGTTATAAATTGCACCAAACAAGAAGAATCACGCACGCAGAGTGTATAATGAAAATTATTTCAAAGGATTAAAGACAACACTCTGTTCAAATAGACCCTTTACCAGCACCGGGAATTTTTATTTTTGAATTGGACCAAGTACCTGGTTATCGAAAGTAGAACTTGAAGCAGGTGGAGCTGTGCTAACAGGACTGCTGTGGCCATGATAAGGAGCCGAGCTCTGTTGGAAATTAGATGAACATGAAGATTTCGAGCTGCTAAACGAAGGTGCACTATATACAGGTGGTGGGAGGGGAACCCTCTCAGGAACATTCCCTTTCCGGCCACTGTACCCAAGCAAAGAGAAGACAATGAGATCATACGTGAAATTGAGGCAATTAAAACCTAAATATTCAAGTTAACCATCAATTACCCTAATACATTGAGCTCTATTGTTGCCTTATATTGAGAAGGAATTTCCATCAACGCTGCAAGAGCGAATTCTGTCTCCTTTCGGGATTGGGCCACATTCTTTGACATAATTTCTGTGAAATTGACGAACTAAAGAAAAAAAATAGTTGTCCCCTATTAAGCATTGTCAACAGTAATATGCATCCAATAGTAGTGGCAAATGAGAAGGCATAATAAACCTTATAATGCTAGTACATCACTTACTTGGAAATTATCGAAGGCCCGAGCAGGGATGTTGTCATCAAACTCCCTCATCATGTCCCAGGGTCCATCTCCAACCCCAACTAATATAATGGACAAGGGTAACTTGCTGTACAAATGTAGCCACATTTCATAAAAAAGTTGACAAAATAAATTATAAAAAGAGCAATAGAAAAGAGAATGGTGCAGCGAGACAACAATTGAAGAACAAGAAGTTACACCCAATAACCTTGCTGTTACAATTGCTTCGACTGTTTTCTTCTCCTGTGGACTCAACTGACCATGCTCAGTATCAACACTTCTAGTAACCTATGGCAACACCCAAATGGCTAGGTGAGTTTGAAGGTTCAATTAACAAAGAATGGTGCTGGGCACCACAGGATTTTAAAGGTTTAATTAACAACGCAAGATTACCTGTCCGTCTGCAATTATTAACAAAACATGGTACTGGCCACCACTCTTCTCAACAATTGTCATGGCCATTTCAATAATTGGGCCAAATGATGTCGGCCCTGCAGCAATTGACAGAGAACAGAGAAGCGTAACCTATAAGAACAAATTATTCTGGAGTTCAAGTACTACTAGGGTAGGAAAAGTATAGTTTAGTTTGTAGAATTCAAACCTGCTAAACGTAGATGAGGAACTATTTCCCGGTACTGACTCAACACTTCCTCAAATCCATTACAAAACCTGTCATCTGGATAAAAGCTGAAGACATCTTGATCATGTGTTGATGCTGCCAAAATGGAAACAGAAAGTATTGATTATTGCCAATATTCAAAAAAATTGATCTCGGAAAGTATCATCTCTGGCTCAAAGAAATTACCATCTCCAAATCCATAACAAGGAATCAAATTATCCTCATCAAAAGCTGCCAAGGTTTTCCCAATAATAGAAATGGCTTGTTCATATGGATTTAAACCACTTCCAATGTAATGTAAGCTTCTTCTGTTGAATGACCTTGCACCTATTTACCAGTCCAAGATCAGCATGTTTCCGGTAACTGATAATAACGCTTAAAACATTCAACTTAGCATAAAAATTCAACCTGTCCACTCATTGCTCTTTGTGAAGTCTATACCAACAATGAGATTAGAAGACTCAAGGCCAGCACGGGCAAGAGCCTCAGTCACCTGTAAAGAAAGTAACATCTCATTTAGACTCGGTAGCATCGGAATTTATAAGAAATTCACATAATTTATCAGGCAATAAAAGGAGGAAAATAAATATATATATATATATGCCAAACCCAGTAACATAAAAGCAATTATTTTTTAACGATAAAACATCGCTGTACCAGAAACCAATATCTTTATTAACTCAACAATGCTAAAAATTTGACTAGCCTCTATTTGGCGTAGCATGATTTCAATCTTGGCAGTTCATTGCCAATGACTCAACTGTCAACAAATAACCAGTGGAACAAAAACAAACTATTTTGCAGAAAATGCTAGTTTCACTATCATGTTGGATAAATACTGTTGGAAATAAATAAAAATAAAATCTGGGTATTGAAAATTTTTAGTATTAGATTTCTAATGATAAAATATTTAAGAATGAAAATGAAAATGAAAATAAAAACTACATTTCAATAAGCACAATCAACATTCAAAGTGTGAAGTCAAGTCTCTCTCACTTGAAAGTAAGACGCATTTGGTAAAGTCGTAAATGCATCTATAATTAATCTCAATGAGGTATGCCCCAAAAACTTCATATCAATTGTTAGGTTTTTGAATCAGTGGAGTACAAAACTAAAATGATTTTGATATATACAATCAATCATACATATGTATTCAAGATATAATTGAGATATGATTATTCATCATAAGGAAATTACGAGACTTGAAAGAACTATTGAATACAATCTTACCTGCTCCAAGGAATTGTAATTATCAGCAATCCTCGAATACCTCCGGTCAAGCTTCCTCTGTGGTTCTTGGGGCCGACCCCCATAGTTTTGAGGAGGTGCATGGTATTGTTGTGGTGGATACGCAGGATAAGCCATCTGGGGAGCATAACTTTGGCTTTCTTGGGGATAGGATGGTTGATTATATTCATATGGACCCGTAGAAGACGAAGAAGGCCGAACCGGAGAAGACTGACGCCAACTTCCATCCCTTGAATTTCTTCCCCCCATTCAACTCAATACTATATACTCTATACAGATTTCACAATTTTGAACAAACATAACTTGTTTCCTATACAATAGCACAATCCAATTCAACCAAAAACCATCAAAATCAATCACTTGAAAACAGAATCCCAGAAAAATTCCCCAAAACAAACCCTGGTTTCAATTCTTGGAATGAAAGCACCCCAAAAAGAGGCTAGAGAAACCTTCCAAAGAGAAAAAAAACAAAAATGATAACCAACTGCCAAGATAGCCTTATCAACTAAGATATACATTGCTTCATAACCACAGCAATTAATATTATTTACTAAAAAATTCAAATTGCTTCATAACTGCATCAATTAATATCATTTGCAATATATTTTACAAGATTGCATAATTATGCTACAAGTTGGTGCCAAATGGTCAAGCAAGATTTCAACACACGCCACATTAATGTATTTACATACAAAATATGAAAATAAAATAAAATAATAAAAAAAAAGGGAAGTGAGCAAACCAACAATTTCAGTCAAAATATTTGGTGAGAAATAGTTATGGGAAACTTTTGTTTTCTGAATCTGTTTTCAAAAACTAGTATGGTGAAAAAAAAAATAATAATAATAAATTCATAATTGTTAATATATGATTTTCTCTTTTGGGGGGGGGGGGATGAAAACAATTTTAGAAAATTCAAAATTAAAGTTTTAGGTGTTTACTGTTGTCAAATTAGTTTGTAATTGTTTTTCAAAATTTTTAGAAACAAAATCTGAAAACTCAACCAAACAGAATGCTACTTTTTAGGAAACACTAGTGAAGTTGATTTGTATTTCCAAAAACTGTTTTTACACAATGAATATATCATGAAAAACAATGGATGGTTTTGATCTCTTTATTAATTTGTTTCCAAAAACACTAAAAATGAAAACAGAACAACCAAACATGTGTCCTACATGTTCTCTTAAACTATCAACAACGGAGTAAATATAGCAGAATCATTAAATATAGCAACCAAAAAAAATTGTAGTTAAGTCAATCTTCACTTCAAAAAGAAAAAAGAAAAAAAAACCCTAAAATTTATCTAAAATTTCATCAATTGAAGTAATTACGGAGACTGATTCGATTGAGGAGAGTGAGAGACAAACCTGCATGAAGACAAAGAATCTTTGCATCTTTCTCAGAGACCTTTGTGTTCACACTTGTTCTACTTTGGCAGAATTTCTATGTTGGATCGAATGTTCTACTTCAGCAAGAAAGTCGTCTCTGTATTTTTTTTCTTTTTCTTTTTCTTTTTTCAATTTTAATTTTTTTTGGGTACTTTGATGATAATCTTATTATTTATAACAATGGTCGAGTTATAACGAAAGCTCTAATGATATTATGGTAAAAAAAAAAATATATTTTATAAATACATAAACCACATCACATATAAAATCACCCCCTCACACATTATTAAAACTCTATTTAATATTTTAAAATTAAAACTCCTAAATTTTTATTCTATTATTTATAATATTACCATAAAAATGGTTGGTAGATGCATATGATTGAAGTCTCTCGACATTTTCTTATGGTACAATTAGTGGGGGTTGGAGAATGGGTTAATTACATTTTACTTCTTTATAATTTAGTCCTTCTAATTTAGAAATATATTCATAACCCCCCTTTAACCATATTTTATAAATACACAAACTACATCACATATAAAATCACACCTCACACATTATTAAAACTCTATTTAATATTTTAAAATTAAAACTCTCAAATTTTTATTCTATTATTTATATTATTACCATAAAAATGGTTGGTAGATGCATATGATCGAAGTCTCCCGACATTTTCTTATGGTACAATTAGTGGGGGTTGGAGAATGGGTTAATTACATTTTACTTCTTTATAATTTAGTCCTCCTAATTTAGAAATATATTCATAACCCCCTTTAACCCGGAGTGAAGTGAAAAACCAACAGATACTGTTATTAAGAGCGCGTGTTGCAAATCTTTGGCTGGGATGTCTGGTGACATTGTTAAGGCTCCGTTTGAGAAGAAAAAAGTCAGGTTTTTTTTATTATAATAATCACAAAAAATAAAATAAGTTATTTTAGTCACAAAAAATAAAATATCAAATCCAACCCATAATCATTACAATCCTCCCTCACAAAAAAAGTTAAAAAAGTCAAAAAAACCAAAAAGTCCTTCCCAAACCAGGCTAAAATAGCTCAGGCTAAAATAGCCAAAAAGTTAAAAAGCCAACTCACTTCCCAAATGGAGACTAAAATAAAATTTGGGAGTAAAAATTTTAATTTTTTAAATTCAGTTTTTAAAAATTAAATTTTATATTATATATATATATATATATTTTTAGTGAATATTTTAAAAAATTTAAATTATTTTTTTATTTTTTTAAATGCACATTTCAAAAATGTATCTAAATAATAAAATAAATTTTTTTTAAAAACTAAAATGAAACAAAGTAAATAATGTCATTTTCTTCTTCAATCCTTTCTTGCAATCCATCTCCAATTTACTGTGCATCTTCCCATCATATGGAGATCCCAACCCATCACCACCAGTGACCCACCAATAGAATACACAAATAACTACTACCAATGACCACCAACATCACTCTCTTCCTTACAATAACCTCTAATTGAAAAGAAGTGTATATGTACAGGTGGAGTATTATTAGGCGAAAATGAAAGGGAGAGGGAGTTTGGGTTTGTTAAAGGAAGCCATGGGTAATGGCTAGAGATTTGCAGAGCGTTACTAGGTTTGAGTTTTTACCATATGATGGTGCTGTGGTTTTGGTGTTCCCAAAAAGTAGAGTTGTATTTTATACTAATGGACATCCAAAAGGGGCCCAACCCACGACTCAGGGCCCAGCTCATGGCCCAGGTGTTAAAGCCCAATAACCTTCAAAACCAATGCTAGCCTAAGACCAATAGCATTCGAACACAGGCAGGAAATTAGCCACGTAAGCAGACAAAGATCCTACAAAGTTATTGCACACACACATTAGCCATTTACTGAGGCCCTCGCAACATTAAATGCGACAAGTCTTTCATGCCAGAAGAAGCAGACTCACCATGAACGATGTGAGCTAGACTATAAACTTTCGGCTAACAAGACGGTCTAGAATGGATAAGGAAATGATGAAAAAAGGATATAAGGAAGCTTTCGAGATATGTTAAAGGTTAAGTTTTTCATCTCTTGCCTCTTTTTCTCTCTATAATCAATCTCTCATAACCTAACTTGATCATCGGAGTGTCCGTCGAGGGATTATCTCCTCCTTTGGACCTTTTTGCAGGCTCGCTTTAAGGACACAAAGGTCAGCACCCCTTTGGAAGCGTGGATCGGTCCAACCCATCCACTATTCAAGTTACTGCATTATTAGTTGGCGCCGTCTATGGGAAAACTCCTATAGTCGTCAGTTGTGTTCATTGTCGCCAGAGGGAATCCTGTTAACACCCATCTCCTACGTCAGGGTGGATGGTCACGACCAGGTCCATGGCTTCATAATACAATGCTAGTAACCTGGAAGTCGAGTTCTCCAACCCAAATAACCTATCTCTGTATTTCGCAGAACTCACCAACAGCATCAACCAGCTGACCGAACAAAACCAAGCCCTGATCAACGCTTTGTTCCAGGGTGACTTGTATACCCCTCTTCCTCCATCGTAAATAATCCCTATTGACCTGGAACAAGCCCACAATCATCACCAATTCCCACCACATGTGTCCCAAGAAATATTTCCTCCCTTTGTCCCATGGCGCGTCGAACCCCGACAATCTACGCGTCCCTTCTCCAAGCTCGTAGCCCCATCAGGAGGGACCACTGCTGTTCCATAACCACCTTCCATTGCACTATACTGCCGTTCGTAAAGGCGAGGCTAGTAATGTTCAACCCCCAGCTCATGCTTATGGAGATAATGCCCTCGTTTGGGACGAAGAATTACGGGCCATGAAGCTTCAGTTACAAGGGGTCATGCAAAACATGTAGCATAAACCTTCTTCCACCATCAACTCCCCTTTTATTGCTTCCATCAGAAATAAAGCTCTACTCTCTAAGTTCAAAATGCCATCGATTGACACCTTTGATGGTACCACTGATCCGATCGACCACGTGGAAACATATTGGACACTTATGATCCTCTACGCTTTTCCAAACGAAATCATGTGTCGCGCTTTCCCCGTCAAGTTGAAGGGGTCAGCGCAACTCTAGTTCAGCCAACTTCCCTCAGACTCTGTCATTTCCTTTCACCAGCTTAATGAGTCTTTCCTGAGCCATTTCATCGGTGTACAGCGCCAACGATACCCAATGACTCAACTGCTAAACATCCGGTAGACCGAGGGGGAATCGCTGCGTAGCTTTGTAACCCACTTCAATGCAAAGGCCTTACAAGTGGAAGAAAATGATGACAAGGTCATTCTCACAGCCTTCATGGCCGGTTTGTGCCTGTCAGATTTTCTCTTTTCCCTCTGCAAAAACCCCCTGATTGTAATGGCCACCCTTCTCGCCAAAGCCCAGAAATACATGAATGCTGAAGACTCCCTGGCGGCTCGCCAAGACTCCACATTCAAAGCTTTGCAGTCCGGGGAAAAGAAAAAAAGAACCTGAACCCAGGCACTTGCAATACACTCACTGACCTTCACAGCATACAGATTAACCCCTATGCTCTGACCGACTAGCTCTTACCCCACCAACTAGTTAGTTCGAACGATACACACCTCTCAACTCACCTATGGAGCAAGTCTTGCACCAAATCCAGCGTGACTACGACCTCAAGTGGCCCTAACCATCGAAATTCCCCTCCACCAGGCGGGACCAGTCCAGGTACTGTCGTTTCCATCGTTACCACAGCCATACCATTGAAGAATGTGTTAACCTCAAAGACCAAGTCGAGGGTTTAATTCGCTAAGGGCGCCTCAACTGGTTCACAGCAGCTCGCCCCCATGAAAGACCTAAGGTTGACCTCCTGAGTCACAACGACCGACACACTCCTCCTAGACAGCCTGAACCACATAGATGGCATGATGACCGGGCTCCACAACACCCCCACGCACAAGGCGCTCCTACCCCTCCGGTAAGCCAAATCAGGGTCATCGCCAAAGGGCTCGCGTGCGGTGAACCTTCTCGGTCGGCACAGCGAGCTGAGCTCCGCAAAATTAGGCAAGGCTCCGATAAGGTCGTTAAGACAGTGGACCGCCCCTACAAATAGCCCAAGTAACGATCTGAACCGATCACCTTTACGGAGGCGAACTGCATAGGCGTTCGTTACCCCCATGACGACCCTCTAGTCATCTCTGCTCTCTTATTAAACTACAAAATCATATGAGTACTTGTCGACAATGGCAACTCCTCAGACATCATATTCCTTAACACCCTCGGACAACTCAAAGTTGGGAAAGAAAAGTTGTCTCCTCTTCAAACCCCTCTGGTCGGCTTTACTGGAGATTGGGTGACGTCCATAAGCTCCATCAACCTTCCAATCACCATTAGAGAGTATCTATGGTAGTCCACAAAACTATTCACCTTCTTCGTCGTCGACTACCCTTTCGCCTACAACATCATACTTGGACGCACAACTCTCAACGCCCTCCAAGCTGTAACCTTCACGTATCGTTTGGCCATGAAATTTTTGACCAATCAAGGGGTCGGCACGGTGAGGGGTGAACAAATGGTGGCCAGAGAATGCTATGTCTCCTTATTAAAGGAGGTTAGATTGAAGGAGACCATGATCATAGAAGACCTTGATGTCAGAGACGAAAAGGAGTTAATCAGAGGGGAACCAGTGGAAGAACTAGTGGAAGTACCTATTGACCCCACCAAGCTGATGAAGATGGTCAAAATTTGTTGCCAGTTGCCCCCCTAGCCAAAGCCAACCTTACAGCCCTCTTAGCCTAGCATAACGATGTCTTTGCTTCGACTCACTTCGACATGCCAGGTATCGACCCTTCTTTCATTACTCATCACCTCAGTATTGAGCCCCAATTTTGGCCATTTTCGCCAATGGCAGTGCATTTTCCATCCAAAGTGTAACAATCTCATCGCTGCTGAAGTAAAAAAGCTGTTGAAGGCACACTTCATTAGAAATGTAGACTATCCCAAATGGCTATCCAATATGGTCTTGGTTAGCAAAAACAATGGCAAGTGAAGACTTTGCGTCGATTACTCCGACCTCAATCCAGCCTGTCCTAAGAATAGCTACCCACTACCCAAGATCGATTTATTGGTTAACGCCACGGCAAGACACCAGATGCTTAGCTTCATGGATGTTTTCTTAGGCTATAATTAGATCTTAATGCATGCATCTAACTAGGAGCACACCTCTTTCATTACTGACAGAGGAACTTATCATTACCATGTGATGTCATTCGGTTTGAAGAAAGTGGGGGCCACTTACCAATTCCTGGACAACGCCATTTTTAAAGGCCAGATAGGTAGGAATATGGAAGTCTATGTCGACAACATGCTCGTCAAAAGAAAACTCTCTTTTGATCACCTGGCCAACCTACGGCAAACCTTCCAGCTCTGCGCAAGTATAAGATGAAGCTGAACCTAGAAAAGTGCCCCTTTGGCATTGGATATGGTAAGTTTTTGGGGTTCATGGTCAGCCATAGAAGTAGTGAGGCCAATACATAGAAGATCAAGACCTTAATCGAAATACAATCCCCCCGAACGTTTAAGGAAGTCCAACGGCTCATTGGCAGAGTTGCCGCCCTCAACCGCTTCATTTCACGAGCGACCGACAAGTATCTTCTATTCTTCAAAGTTCTTTTGTAGGCTTTTAAATAGAACACCGAATCCGAGGAGGCCTTCTAACAACTAAAACAGTGCACGACTAACCCCTCTCTCCTCTCTCAACCCTCTTCCTCTACTTAGTTGTCTCTAACACTACGGTCAGTGCTACCCTCATCAGAGAATAAGACTTAGTCCAATGACCATTTTACTACATTAGCCGCGCAATTCGGGGGGCAGAACAGAACTACCCCTTGTTAGAAAAGATGCCCTAGCTCTGGTCATCGCCTCCAGACGCCTCTGACCCTACTTCCAAGCCCACTCTATCGCGGTCCTCACAGACCAACCTTTGAAAAAGGTTATGCAACAACCAGAGTCATCAAGCAGGCTCATGCAATGGTCCGTTAAACTAAGTCAATATGAGATCTCCTACCGATCCCGAACAGCCATCAAAGGCCAAGCTGTTGTAGATTTTATCTTCGAATTCACTAACCTCGCTTTCAATATACTGTAGACACCTTATTTTTGACCGTCTTCAAGACTTGGATGTCATTGTTTGTATACTCGATGATTGTGACTATTTGTGCTTGTTTTGGTGTCCGAAGTCCTCGGCGGAATGCCCTGTCTTTGAGCCTTCAAACCCCATTCATTCTATGCCTTGTTTTGGACCAAAATCTTTAAGCCTGTAACCCTTGGTGGTTGTCGGCCACCAATTGAGCCTGCTGGCCATCACTGGTGGCCGATTGGCCACATTAGTGGCCTGATGGCCATTGATGCCTTTTTGCAGATATTTTCTTAACAGCTGTTCCAGCTATTGACACAATGGTCTTGATCACCATACATGTGTATAGATGGATATAACTCAGCTGAAAGCTTGTTTTTCTATAAATATGGGACCTTTTCCCCCATTGTAAAAGGTTAGAAAATTTTGGAGCAACATTCTCTATCTCTTGAAATTTTGTGCTTGGTTGCTTAGTATCTCTAAACTCCGTCGGGGTTGTTAACAACTCCGCCGGTCCCAAGCCCGGGTTAAGGAGGAGGGTTGTGTGTTAGGTAGCCGACAACCAACACGTAAAAAAGTCACTCGAATCCCTTATGAAAATGAATCCTACTTTGAATCGTTTAAATGCTAAGTCGTTCCCCTCAAGTGACGCGTTGCGCCTGCCTCCGGGTGTTTCAAAAAATGAGCAAGAGGCGCCGCATCGACGCCTGGGTGCGATGAAAAATGGGCAAAGATTCCGCATTTTTCTGGGCGAGCGCTGGTAAAGAAGATAGTCCATGACTATAGGTTTAGGGTAGCCACTTGGAACATAGGAACCTTAACTAGTAAGACGATGGAATTGGTAGATGTTATGATTAGGAGAAGAGTTATTATAGCTTGCATATAAGAAACTAAGTGGACGGGAGAGAAAGCTAAGGAAATTGAGAATACCTATTTTAAACTATATTATAGTGGTAAGGATAGACGCAGGAAAGAGGTAGGAATCATAATTGCCAAGGGTCTTGTGGAGAGTGTAGTGGCTGTCACTAGGAAAGGGGATAGGATTATGCTAGTTAAACTAGTTATTAGAGGGAATATAGTGAATGTTATTAGCACATACGCCCCTCAAGTAGGATTAGATGATCAGACTAAGAGGGATTTTTGGGAGCAAATGGATGAGATCTTACAGGAGATACTCGTAGGAGAGAACCTAGTTATAGGTGGAGATTTTAATGGCCATGTGGGCATAGATAAACTAGGCTACGAAATGGTGCATGGTGGATGCGGTTTTATTGACAGAAATGAGGCTGGAGAGAGTATTTTAGATTTTGCGTTGGCTTCTGGCCTAGTGGTGGCCAATACTATGTATAAGAAGAGGGAGGAGCATTTGATAACCTTTGAGAGTGGATTAGTTAAGAGCCAAATAGATTACTTCTTAGTGAGAAAAGTGGACCGCCTAAAATGCAATGATTGTAAGGTGATTCCTGGAGAGATCCTAATCTCTCAACATAGGATTTTGGTACTAGATTTATATTTTAGAGGGCAATACCAAGCTAGGAAGGATGGTAGGTGTAGACACCCCATTTTTGACCGACCTTAAGACTCAGACGTCATCGATTGAGTGCTCGGTGATTGCGTATGTTGTGCTCGTTTCGAGGTTTCGGAGTTTTCGGCTAAATGCCTTGCCTCCGGGCCTCTGAACTCTTTGTGCTTTGGCTCGATTTGCGGACCAAACTTTGTTTTCCTTGCCTGAGGGAGGGAGATGGTCTGTGGACCACCTCTTTGTGGTCGTAGACCATTTTTTGTGGTCGTAGGCCGCTTTTCTCATTTGGAGACTAGTTTCTAGTTTTCGGAGCCTTCGGCCGCGTGCCTTATCTCGGGACCACTTAACGTTCTCCGTTTGGCTTGGTTTTTGAACCATACCTTGTTGCCTCTGCCTAGAGGGACACTGTGGTCCGGGAGACCACTTTTGTGGCCATAGACCACTTTTGGTGCCGGTAGACTAGTTTTCGAGACTTCCGGCTGCACGCTTTGCCTCTCGAACTTTCGTCTTGCATCCGTTTTGGTTTGTTTTTGGTACAAACCTTGTGTTCCTTATTTGGAAAGTGATGCAAGGGTGGGAGACTAGTATTTCCCCTTGGAGACCACTTTTCTTCCCACCAACCAGTTTTTTGGTCAGACAACTGGTTTTCTTGGTCTTCGAGCCACCTTTTCTGGTCGGCCACCACACCACCACCTTGCTTTCAATGTGTAGACCACCTTTGCACAGTGGCCGACCACTTTTTCTACTGGCCGGCCACTTCCACTGGTCGGCTGACCAGTAGAAGTAGCTGGCCGACCACTTCAACTGGTCGGCCACTTTCCAGCTCATTCCTGGAGATATTTTCTTCCAGATGGCACAGTTGGAAGGCACCAGAACCATTCTCCATACACGTGTATGGAGGGATGGTCTTGAACCCTTAGCTTCTTCAAGAAGCTTACACTTTTGTTCTCTATATAAGAGAACCTCCTTCTCCCTCTTCTAGGTTCAGAAAAATTACCTTGAGAGATATACATACACCTTTGTATCTATCTTGCTCTTGTTCTTCATTTTTGTGTTCAAAAGTGCATATTCTTCATACTTTAACACACAAACACACACTCAAACACCATCCCTTTGTTGCTGAGGTGCTTAGGAGCTAGTTTTGGAGTTTTTGGTTTGGTTTAAGCTTGAAAAACCTGCTGAAATTGTGGTTTTGAAGGTGGTCTTCAATGGTGAGCCTTTAACTCCTTAAGCCCCCATTCTTGCTTAAGCTTTTAGCCTTACTTGCATATTGTTTTAATCTTAACTCTAAACTACAAAAAGTTCTATTTTTGTATGCTTAAGATCTTTGTTTAAGGTCACTTTTGTGTTGGGGGTTGTTTACCCCCTCTTAGGCCTTGTTTGGACTTGCTTTTGTGCCTTCTTTTTAAGCCTTTGGGATCACCTTGTTTTGGCCTTCTCACCACTGAAGCTCAGAGGAATTTCAGTGGTGGGAAGGGTGTTTTGAGGTCCCAAAAAGGAGAGGGTCATCCCCCTCTCCTTGTGTCTTAAATACTTGCTTATTTTGCCTCATGTGTGAGCATGTTTGTTAAGCTTATGTTGGCCATATCTTAGCTTGTATTTGGGCTTATTTTAGCATGGCATGCCACTATTTTTACTTGGTTTTGTCACTTCATGCATGCCTAATACACTTGAACTGTAAATCTCATAAACTAGTCTTGTATGCTTCATGAAGTAGCATGTCATTCTAACTTGTTTTGTTTCCATTTTAGAATGTTTTTGGTGATGTTTTGCCATATCATACCTCTGTTAGGGTTTGGCTTGGTCACCTCTTGCATGCCTCATGCACTTGTAGTGCAATTCCATGAAATAGCCTAACATGCATCATGCTTTAACATATCATTCTAGCATGCTTTAGGCTTAACTTCAAGAAGCTTTTGTCCATGTTTTAGCATGCTCTAGCTCTGATTTGTGTTGTTTTAGTCATGCATGACATGCTTTGTATAGCTATTGTGCATTCTAGCTTGTTAGCTTTGTGTGTCAAGTCCACTAGCATGCTTTACTTGGCCTATTTGAATGATTTGGCATCATTTCATATGTGATTTCAGTCCATGTTTCATGGTCATGCACTTGCATTTATCATCCATTCAATGCGTTGGAGGGTTTGCCCCTTTATGCCTTAACATGAATCATTGCGTATGCCTTCATGCCTAAGCTTGCGAGCTATCATTTCAATGTGCTTTTGGGGTTATTTTGTCATGGTATAACTCTGATTTTTATTAATTAAGTCATCTCATGCTTGGTCTTAATAGGTGTAGTTTAATCCACTTTATTTGCCTTGTATGTATTATGCCTTATGCCCTTCATGTTAGCTTGTTTTGGCATCCTTCCATACATGTTTTAGT